CAGGAAGGCCTTCCCTGAGGACCCATATGGCATGGCTTCAAGAGATGATGGCTTGACAGCATTCAGCGTTTAATGAAAGTAAGAAAGCGCCCGTGCTTCAGAAAGTATTGGAACAAGGCTAATGTTCAAGAGACAGCAGAAACATAGAACTGAGATTAGCTGGTTTTGCCTAAGACAAGTGGAAAGGGTGGTCCACCCTTTGATTGCCTTAGCGCAAAACACACAGCCTTCACAATGAAGCCCCAACACACCTTAACAGCCTCAGCTCCCAGCCTTTGATCCCAGCCTGCATGACCCTGGCCTTTGCTTTTGCAGTACCCTGCTTCCTCGCCTCTTCCTGACCTGAAACATCACCTGCTTCCTCACCGCTTCACTCTAAACATCCAAACGTCAGTTCTGTGATGTCTTCACAAACTCAGAAAAGTATCTTTTTTGCTCTTCTATATTCATGGATTTCTTGTCATTTCTTTGTGTGTCCAGTTTCTCCACACCACTAAGCTCCCTAGGGCAGGACTCAATCTTACCCTTTTTTTATTTTTATAACCCCAGGGTGTAGCATTATCATGTGTGCCTGATAAATGTATTGGGCAGTAAGAGAAGGGGAAGAAGAAAGACACATATCTATGCCTTTGCTCACACACACACACCCCATTCTCTCTACCAATATGAAGCTTACCCAGTTAAAAACCAACTGCTTTTTGAAGACTTCCCTGACCAATGATCTCCCACTTCTTTAAACTTCCATAGCACCTATGTGAGAATTACACAGCTGATACTTAACAGGCATGTGTTGTCATCACAGTTGTGTTTTTATATGTGTGCTACTTCCCCAACCACAGTCAGAGAGCCCTTTGCACAACCCACAATGCCTAGTGGTGCTCTGCATAAGGTTGTTACCTATCAAGTGTTTGCTGATTGAGGAGGAGAGGGGGAAGGTCTGAAAGGTAGACCAGGAAGGTGATTTTGAAGGAGGGCACATTCAGGAGAGCCCAGGCCACCACAGAAGTCAAGCAATAAGGAACAGCAGGCAGACTGCCCCCGAATCCTAAAGTGCCTGTAAAGGAGACAAAGTCAGTCCACCAGGTGATTAACCAGGGCGAAAAGAGAGCCTGTACTTAAGTTAATGAAAAGCCAGGGCATTGCAAGTAGGAGCAAATGTTCACAATCAATTGCTGGAGTCAAACCAGGCAAAGAGGAAAAAGTCAGAACAGTGAGAAGTTACTGAGTACCAATTATGTGCTAAACCTTTGACATACATTTAAAAAAAAAAATCTTTGGGCAGTGCCCTCAGCGTCCCGGATCTGTCTCTTGCTTCAACAGTGTTTGATGGAACAGACCCCGGGACGCCCCTTCTTCCAGCCTCCGACCACCTTCCAGCGTCTCATCCCCACACCACCTTCAGAGCCACCTTCGAGACCAGCCAACACACCGGGTGTTTTCCTACCTTAACTCCTATTGCCGAACAACCATGAGCTCCCAAACCCGTCAGAATTATTCCACCGAGGGGGAGGCTGCTGTCAACCGTCTGGCCTGCATCTGCAGGCTCCCACCTACCTCTCTCTGGGCTTCTTTTTCGAACACCATGGTGTGGCTCTCCAGGGCGCGGGCCATTTCCTCCGCGAGTTGGCGGACAAGAAGCGCGAGGGCGCTGAGCGGCTCTTAAAGTTGCAAAACCAGCGCGGTGGCCGCGTTCTCTCCAGGACGTGCTGAGCCTCCCCAAGATGAGTGGGTGAAACTCAGGGCCATGGAAGGCGCCATGGAAATCCACCAGGGCCTTGGAGAGGAACCTGGCCAGGCCCTGTGGGAGCTGCAGGCCCTGGTTCTACCCGAGCAGTCCCTCAGCTCTGTGACTTCCGGGAGAACCACTTCCTGGGCGAGGAGGTGAAGCTCATCAAGAAGATGACCTATTATCACTCATTCATGGATAATAGAGACCAGTATAAACTTTTGAACAATAATAGATACAGAGGCAGAGATGCCTCAAACAGATTGTCAAACTGCAGCGGGAAGGCCGGGGAGGGTTGGGGGGCAGGAGGGAGGGGGGTAAGAGATTAACCAAAGGACTTGTATGCATGCATATAAGCATAATCAATGGACATAAGACACTGGGGGATAGGGGAGGCTAGGGGACTGTCAAGGGCGGGGGGGGGGGGGGGGAAGGACACATATGTAATACCCTTTGCAATACTTTAAGCAATAAAAAAAAAAAAGATGACCTGACTAATATCCATAGGCTGGCCGGCCCCCAGGCTGGGCTGGGCGAGTATCTCTTAGAAAGGCTCACCCTCAAGCACAACTAGGAGCCTTTGGAGCCCAGAGGCCTTTGAGGGACCCCCTCTGCATCCCCTGGTGTCAGGCTTTTACCTGATCCTCACCCCGAAACTACTAGCCATTCTTTTAACCACCCTGAAGCCCTCTCCCATGCATTGGACCAAATGAAACAATAAAGCTTTTTGCAGGGAAAAAAAAAAAACAAAACATCTTTGATGAGCTATCATTCACATACCAAATAATTTACCCATTTAAAGTGTTTGATTTAATGGGGTTTTTTTAATGTATCCACAGAGTTGTGCACAACCAGTTTTAGGATAGTCTCACTCCTCCAAAAAGAAACGCTGTACCTATTAGCAGTCACTGCAATTCCCCTCACACCATTACTTCTCCCACCCCACCTCCAGCTCCAGGCAACCACTAATCAACTTTCTGTGTCTACAGATTTGCTTATTCTGGATATTTCATATACATGGAATCATACAACACGTGGTCTTTTATCTTTTACTTAGCATAATGATTTCAAGGTTCATCCATGTTGTAGAGTGCATCAGAACGCCATTGCTTTTAGTTGCCAAATGGTATTTTCAGTCAGTGTTTGGGAATCTTGAGTATGCAGAGAGCCAGCTAGGAGATATATGAAAATTTTCAATCTTGTGAGTGTCCACACCCCTAGCCCCCTGTCAAGGGTCAACTGTAATCCATTATGTGAATACTAGAGGCCCAGTGCACGAATTCGTGCACCAGTGGGGTCCCTCAGCCTGGCCTGCAGGATCAGGCTGAAACCAGCTCTCTGACATCCCCCGAGGGGTCCCAGATTGAAAGAGGGCACAGGCCAGGCCGAGGGACTGCACCAGTGCACGATCAGGGCCAGGGAGAAACACGGGAGATTGGCCAGCTGGGGAGGGACTGTGAGAAGGTTCCAGGGCATGTCCAGCCTGTTTCGCTCAGTTCTGATCAGCCGGACCCCAGCAGCAAGCTAACCTACTGGTTGGAGCATCTGTCCCCTGGTGGTCAATGCACATCATAGCAACTGGTTGACTGTATGCCCCCTGGTGGTCAGTGTACATCATAGCGAGTGGTTGAGCGGTCTTAGCATATCATTAGCATATTACACTTTGATTGGTTGAACAGATGACCAGACAACCGGACACTGAGCATATTGGGCTTTTATTATATAGGATATAACATTTTGTTTATCCATTCATCACTTGATGGAGATTCCATTTGATTCTAGATGTATATTCTTTCATTTATTCTTCCCAATACTCCTGGAAGATCGGTGTGAGTGTCCTCATTTCACAGATGAGTAAAAAGCCTTGGAAAGGTTAACTACCCTGCCCTCTCATGTAAATAATGGCACTGAGATTGAACCCAGGTCTGCCTAAGTCTAAAGGCACTGAGATTGAACCCAGGTCTGCCCTCTATGTTTAATCACCATCTGTTATTTGGCAAACATTGTGAATGGAGGGATGTGTAGGTCATGCCAAAATCCAAGGACTCATGGAAATCATTGATGTTCCCACCTTTCAAGGAATTTAGCTATTAGTTTTAAAATGTTATAGTTGTGTGACATCGCAGAAGGAACTTAAGATTTGGGATTCAATCTTGAATTTGAATCTCACATAACTAGCTTTGTGATTTGGGATAGATTAACTTTTCTGAGCCTGTTTCTTTACCTATAAAAAGGCAGATAAGTTTGACCTTACAGGGTTGTTATGAGGATTAAATAACCTGATGGATAATAGATAATAAGAATATGGTTGGTATTATTATTATTATTATTATTATTACTGTTTGCAGTAGTACCAAAGCAAGTAAAATATACCCCCCACATACACACATACATTTTTCCCCAGAGGGAAAATGTAATCTGAAGAAGTTGGTTTGGGATACATGGTAGTGGGAAATCCAAGCAGAAGTCTCCAATAGTAAGCAGACAGAGATAACAAGCCAGAGCTCAGGTGATAGGTCAGGGCTAGAGATATAGATTTGGGGCTTATCAGCATGGTGGTGAGGGTTGAAGCTGTGACAACTATTCAGGTAGAACTAGAGAGAAAATAAAGAATGAGTCCAGTGTCTGAGCCTTGGGATGTCCACAGTTAAAGCCAGGAGAAGAAATAAGAACCAGTAAAGGATGTAGAATTAAGTATTTGGTGGGGCTGTGGTTATGCCAGAATAGCATTTTATTTTGAAAGCCAAAGGAGAAAATATATTTAAGAAAGAGATAAGAGGCAGGGAAGAAAGTTGAGAAGGTTATGTTGTAGAAAGGTTTGCAATAATGAGAACTGAGAATAGGTCATTACATTTGGCAGTCAAGAAGTCAAGGGTGATCTTAAATGCTGGCCGTCTATCCTTACATGCATGTATTCATCCATGCACCCATTCATTCGTTCTCTTGTTCATTTAACATTCATTGAACACCTATAGTGCATCAGTACTGTGCTATGGCAGAGCAATATGTGGGAAAAACACAATTCCTTGCCACACTGAGGATGACATGTTACAGAAGGAAAGTTCAATGTTGTTTTTCTTAAAGGTCTCACACATTTATTACTGAACCAACCTACTACTGCAGACAGAAAATCAACAGAGCAAAAGCATGAGTCCAATAATTTCCCAATTAAAATGCCCAACTGTCCAGACAGCAGTGATCTTTTCAATCATTTAAAGATGCAGGCAACCTGGATACCGCATAAATATGTGAGCCATCTCTCATATGTGATTCCTCATAGACCCAGTTTGGTTCTTCTCCAATGTCTCCCCTTCGAGCTGTACCTGATTCCATTACCAATTTTCATCTGAAACCACTGGGGAATGAGCCTATTCTGCTTTTGTTTCTTGGCCAGGAACCTCTTGATTCTGAAAGTCTTGTGGGAAGACATGGTGAAGGAGAATCAAACGCATGCACCTCGATGGCAGAGAAAGAGGGAGAAGGAATGAAAGCTCAGTGTTTTAAGACCCATACTTTTGTCTATGAGCTGGGCCCAGGAGGAGAAACTGATGCTTCATGGGACAATTGTTATGGAAAGACAGAAAATTAGCAAGTCAGGAGGAAACTGAAGGGATTGTCAAAGGCAAGCCTGAATGAGAGAGGGCCTTTTTAATTTTAAAGGGGGTATTAAAAAGGGGAAAGAGAAGGCAGAAGCCTTTGGGTTAACAAATTTGACACAAATATCATCTGGACACTTCTCACTGGTTTACAATGGAGATGTTGCTACACTGAGTCTATCAATTTTTGAAGCTTGGGATGAATTTTTTAAAGTTGACAGCACTTTTCATATTGATAATTTCTCTCCAAGGATCTGAATTTTTCCCCCTCCCAGAACTTTGAGTAAAATGGATCCTTCAAGAAAACGCACCATATTCATCCTTTAGCGCCAGTTCCTTTTACCCACTAAAGAAACTACAGATTCCTCCCCTTCTCTCAGCCTTCAAACTCTAATCAACGTACCCCTAGTCAGAGAAGCACATTAGGTAATAGATGTCAGGATACCTTGGCATCACACGTGTGGCCACACTTCCACATTAAAGCAAACAGATAAAGAGCAGTGAATACAAATCAATTCAGATATTTAGATAGAAAACAAAACATAGGAAAAAGTAATAAAACCAGAAGTCTAAAAATCAAAAGAAGAAAATCATGACATATTGACTATTAAAGGGCAAAACAAGTTAACACTGAAAAGTTAAATAAAAAAAAATTTAAGAATGACCTTTGAAAAAAACTTAAAACTTAAGTAAACTTAACATAAATAAACTTGAAAAATGAAACAAATTAAAACCACAAGAATCAAGAAGAATAGTGACAAGCTAAATTAATAATAAAACTTTTAAAAGAAGTAGGTTTTTAAAAATCTAATCACAAGATTAAAGGTTATAGCCCTAGCCAGTTTGGCTCAGTGGCTAGACCCTCAGCCTGTGGACTGAAGGGTCCCAGGTCAAGGGCACATACTTGGTTTGCAGGCTCGATCCCCACTGGGGGCATGCAGGAGGCAGCCAATCAGTGATTCTCTCTCATCTTTGATGCTTCTGTCTCTCCCTCTCTCTTCCTCTCTGCAATCAATAAAAATATATTTGAGGCCAGACTTCAACCAAAACAACATATCTCAACAGATTCAATGTAGAAATAGAAAAGAGAATTCATCTGTCCTTAACGAAAGCTAGATATTCACGAGGTTGGAAAAAATATAAAATAATACCACTCTTCTCACAAAAGTATTTGTTGTTTTGGAAAATATAATTATTTTTCATGAGATATGTATGTTAGCATGTAATGCTTTTATTATTGTTATTTTAAATTACATTGATAAATATTTAAAATTTTTAAACAAAAAAATCAGAATCCAAGTCTTCCAACACCCCCCTCCACCACTACCACCACCAGCACAAAGGTTTCTGGCTCAGTAGGAATGAGGTTGGGCCTAGGAGTGCTCATTCATGGTAATTCCCTCAAGGTGATTCTGATGCAAGTGGTCCTCCCATACTTTGGATGGCATCTCTTTATAAGTCCTTCCCATCCCTAATTGGACAGAAGAAAGAAGGAAAAAGAAGTACATTATTATAGGGTCAATGGAGAGAATTCCAAATGGTATTTTGGTTCCTCTGGATAAATTTCAGGGCCAGTCATGTAACCTCACCAAAGACAAGTTTTTTGAGTTAATGCCTCAAAGTGTCATGGCTTCCTCACCTGTCCTTAAACCTGCCTTTCTGGCCAGTGCATTTAGCTGTTTGAACTCAAGTTTCCTTTGGTAAAGCTTTTCCCCATTATAGTCATTTCTCAAAGGATTTATAACCTTCCAAATAAAGGTCCCTGAAACAGGCCTGGAAGGATGATCGCTACCATGGGTTCATTAAGAGCACTTCAGGTACATTAATGTCCTTGGCCCCTGGATTTATTGCAACATGCTCAGGCCTCCTTTTAGAAAGCGTACTCTTAGTTCCATTTATCCAGCAGGCTTTTCCAGAAAGAGATTAGAAGTAAATGATTTGAGATAGAATCAAAGAATTCCATCTTTTTAATTAGTGTGTTAAACACAGGAACACCTAATACAAATATTTGACTATGTGGTCGAGCGTTGGCTCTGAGGTCACCAGGGGAAATTTATAGGAAACTCTAAAGGCCCTCACAATAATTGTCTTGGGTTATGGCTTCTCGAATTGCTCTTCATTGCCAATAGCAATGCATTTGGACCTAAATAAAATTTGCTGAATTAGGGCACTGTCCTTGTTAAAATGTTTAATCTTCACTTTAAATAAGTTGTGGTCATTCAGGCCTTTTTGTTTCATGGAAGAGGGGGTACCTTTTGCACAAGGTAAGTTCCTTTTACACAACCTCACTAATATAAAATCCTTTTTGGGTCCATGCCAGGCCTATCTGGTCAACATGGGGGAGGGGAGGAAGCAGAAACCTGTTGTAAACATATTTTAGGTTAGTATAATTCTACAATGCGTAATTCACTATTAAACATAGTATGTTAATGGTTTTATTAAGAATTTCAGTGGGGAAGAAGTTACTTATCACGTACTTAAGCAGTATATGCTTGGCATGGAAATCTGTCTCACACATGAGACTTAATAGTTCATCACAGGATGCCTTTGCACCATGGGCTCTTGGACTGCCCCAGAGGTGCCAGATTTGTTCCTTACCTGAAATGAGAGGCAGCGGTGCTGCGGAGAGAGAAGCAAAGGAACTTCCACAGCCAGGTCATGGGGACCAAAAGGAAGGGGGAGGGAAACCTAGGGACGGTGTGGAGTGGAAGAGTGTATGGTCCATTCAGAACACCTTTACAAGGACTTTTATCTCCCTGCTATCTTTAAATACTGTGTTGGGTAGAACCTTGAGATGGCTCCCTTATAACACACTCCTCCCAGGCCGCCCCAAAGATTACTGCCCCCACTGACAGTATCGGAAGAACTTATTTCATCTTTGCAACTCCAGGACCTAAACCAGTGCTTTGTACTTGGTAGTTAGTCACTAAATGTTTGTTGAATGAATGATAGATGGATAAAGAGATAGAAAAATCATCAGTTTAACACATCTTTTAAAGTATGGGTCTCCTTATGAAGGTTAGAGGACTCTTGGTAATTGTCATTATTGTGTATGGATTAAATATTAAATTAATTAATTTAATCCCTCGGGAGGATTACAGTGATGAAGAATGTTGGAACATGGGGCACTAGCAGGGAAGAGAGGAGGAGGCAGGCCTGGGTCAGGACATCAGAGAGCAGCCAGAAGCAATGTGAGGGCTTTGAGGACCTGGAAGACAGAGGCCAGGATGTGAAGAATCCCAGTGAATTTTCTAAACTGGAATCACACTGTCATTCCGGCTGGAGACTTTACCTACTCTGGGCTTTAATTCTTTTGTTTCTATTCATTCTCTATCCCAGTTCCAAAACCCTGAAAAATGGAGGTATCCTCTAGCAAAGAAACACTTGCAATAACTTATTTTGAACATCTGAGGGAAATGGTGTAGCTTTAAGAGAGGGCTTGGGGAAGTCAAAGAGGCATTGTCAGTGGCCCTCAATCATACAGTTTGAACAATTTGTTTAATTTCTCAGTCTTTACAGACTTGCCATCCTCCTCTCTGAAAATGATGGTATTTTCACCATCAAAGAGAGGCCACTATATCTATTGCTGTCCTAATAACAATAGTAAATTAAGAAGAGCCCATCCATTGATGAGGAAATGGTTAAATAAATTATAGGCTCCTATGCAACAGTTTAAAAGAATGAGGTTGATAAACCTACCAACATGAAGAGTTCTCAAAGCCATTTTGCTAAATGAGAAAAGCAAATTGGGAAACAACGTATGTGCTATTTCACCAATTTTTTGAAAACAATGTCAATAAAATATTTCTGAATGTATGCATGTTTGTAAACGCATACAAATCTACCTAGAAGCATGACACTGCTAACAGTAGCTGCTCCAGAGGGGGGTTAGGACCAGTCAGAGGCCATTGGATCAAACATGATTTTTGCTTTATATCTATCAGTGCTGGGGACTAAATAAATAAATAAGTTAATAAATTAACAAATAAATAATCAAATTATGGCCTTTCCTCTGGAAAAGCAAAAAAGGAGGTATTCACCATTCACCCATTCACATCCTGATGGGCCTCTCATACTTGTGGCCTCCTGGGTCATTTATCTCCAAAAGTTAGAACCAGTGTACTTAGCCTGATATGTGTACCAGTGCACTTCACATAGTCTGATATGTCTGTTGTCCAATGGGGTTGCTCCATGTGGCTACTGAACACTTGAAATGTGGCTAGTCCAAACTGAAATAGTCTGAATCTAACAGCAGAATTCAAAGACTTAATATTGAAAAAAGTAAAACAGCTCATTAATAATTTTGTATATTGCTTACATGTTGAAATTATATATTAAATAAAATATATTATTTAAATTGTTCCTTTTGCTTTTAAAAATGTGACTACTAGAAGATTTTAAATCATAGTATGTGTCTCACATTACATTTCTATTGGGCAGTGCTGATCTAGGTGACGAAAATTTTAAACATGCCAATTACCTGAATAACTCTACTTAATTTAAACAGTAAACACATTTTTTCTATATAAGGAAATTTAGATAATTGCTTGAACAACTCTGGATCCATTTGATTTATAGTAAAAAAAATTATTCTGAGTAGATACCTCCAGGACTTCATACTGAGCTTCAGTTTCTCTACCTGTAATATCACCCATCTTGCAGGATTATAGTGAGGATTAAAAGGGATCACCTATTATGTATATGTGGAATCTAATGAACAAAATAAATCCAGAGACATGGAAGCATGCAACAGACTGATGAATCTCAGAGGGAAGTTGTGGGGGGAGAGGGGGAGGGTGAGAAGAGATTAATCAAAGAACTTATATGCATATAT